CCAAAGGCCCAAGCTGCAGGTGATAACAGATCTCTCTCCTTTGTCTTTTCAGCCCCTGGGGTGGTAGTGGCTTTCCTCCTTTGTTAATTTCAGGATCGCATCATCTTGCTTAGTTCAGACTTTTAGCACTAGAGTAACTGTCTATTTTCATTCCCTCTATTTGACATATCTAGAGTGGTTTCTGGTTATTCTAAATTTTTTTTTCTATTTATAATGACTTATAATGACTTATGACTTACCTTTTAAATTTATTATTTTTTTATTATTTCTGTCCTTTTTTTTTTTTTTTTTGAGAGTGATTTTTACCATAGGGTGTGTGTACTTAGTGGAGAGAGACAGAAAGACAGAAAGTGAGAAATCACCCCCATCCCCAGAGGGGGATGGCCACACCACAATCCCTTCTCCAGTCTCCTCTTGGGATCTTGGGCATGCACACACAAGCACCCAGTGTGAGTTTTAAGCCACTGGGCCTGATACTCAAACTACTACTATGTGGGAGTCCGGTGCCGTAACCATTACTATCTGCTGGTCTCTATGACTTCTTATTTGCATTTAATTGTTATTCATCTCTATAGAACATAATATGGTTTCTCAAAGTATGCAAGCAGTACTTGACAGTCAAATGAAGGCTATTACCATATACATTATTTTCAACAGATAACTTTACATTCTTATCATCTTTAGGTATTTCTTCCTTGAGCCTACCATCTACTATCCACCCCCCTCCCATATAGTTTCTGGTATTTACATTCGTCTTCCTCACTATTCTATTTTCAAATCTTTCAATTTCTTTCACAGAGTGCAGATATTGGATATATATATTGAGCAGGGATTTACAGTGTTTGTCTTTCATAGTCTGGCTTACTTCACTTAGCATTAAATCTTCTATGTTTAGCCACTTTGTATCAAGTGATAGGATTTCAACGTTCCTTATGGCTGATTATTATTACATAGTGTACATGTGCCACATTTTTTCAATCCAATCATCAGTTCTTGGGCAATTAGGTTGTCTTACCA